CTGATCTCGGAAGCTAAGCAGGGTCGGGCCTGGTTAGTACTTGGATGGGAGACCAGCTAAGAAGACCAGGTGCTGTAGGCATAAATAATAATAATAAATATTAAAAAAAAATAAAAAAATAAATTATCTCAGGGCTTTTTTGTTTTGTTTTAATCTTGAAACCTATCTTTTAAAGTCAAAGTTCATACACAAAATACCTTAAAAACAAACAAGTTTTTAACCTAAATGTAATAGATAAGTCATGAAGACTCATAGGTAAATATTCTTTATAAAATATTTCTAGGATAAACTTCTGCAGTTCTATATACAGGAACTTGTTCCTGTTTCGGTGTTCTGGTAGCACATGGTACCTACCCATATTAAACTCGATTCTCGATATTTGTTTTTCAGACCTTTTTTTTTTTTGGATGGGCTTCATTAGGCCATAAGTCATTCATTTTATTTTTTGCTTTTTTTATTCCCAGCATGAGTTTGATTACACAGTAGTCATGTTTGAGTAACTGAATGAATTTCTCTGATTTCTCTTGTTGAGGTTCTCTAATATCCAGGCTGATAATATCCATAATGCAATTTTGTTTTAGCATTCAGTTCAGCACAATTTGAATTATGCTGTATTTTTCTCCATTTAAAATATATATTTTATTTTTCAGTTTAAGACTTTAAAGGCATTATAAATATTTACCTCGACATTTGTTATTCATTATATGACCCATGTTGTAATTTCTAGTGTATATTTTACCCATTATACCTTCAATAAATTAAAATATCTTCTGTCCCAGAAATTGCATTTTTATAGAAGAACTGGTATAATACCAGAGTTTCTACTTTAATTTAAAAATATATGCTGTTATTCAGTAGCTTACAAGTAAGAGTTAATTTAAGTGGATAAAGTTGGTTGGATTAAACAAAAAAGACTTTCTTTTTTCAGATTGCAGCAATTCTCCGGAAACGAAAATTAGATTATTATTTACACAAACTACTCCCTGAGATCCTACAATCTGCTTCATTTTTGACTGCTAATGGGGCCTTGTATATGGCTTTCTTTTGCATTTTAAGGTTGGTACTCATAATCACCCTTGGAGGTTAATACAAATTCCTTTGTTGAAAAAGAAACAAACATGTTTATATAAATGTGTAGATCACTGCTTGTATATATTTTTTCTATCTGTGAAATGACATTTATTTGTCCCAAAGAAAGCTTATAAAACCAGGAGTTGTGGACCTCATCACCTAAAGATATAATATAAACTTCAAGTTATTGCTGTGATTGTATAGCAAAAATGCTTTAAAAGGGCTACTATATTTACCAACTTGTGGATTAAAATTTCTTAACTTTTCAATTTCATAGATCAGGAATTCAAAGCAGTTAGTTGTCCATGATATAGGTTAAGTCTGTCTGCAGTGAACAGACTTCAAAGGGATTATAAAATGCTCGTGTTTGTATATAAAACAGTAAGTTAACTTCCGGCACATCCTACCGATGAAACTTTTGATTCTTATTTAGTCCTATATACATTGCCTATGTGATGTGCTTCATTCAATATAGACAGTTAGAATTCAGTTTCATTAAATATTTTACTTTTTATCTTTTTCCCCACTGATTGTTGAAAACCCAAACTAGTGTTTTTTTTAAATCTATCAAGTTTAAAATAATAACTTCACCTTATCATCGTATTAGTGTTATCCAATTAGTGTTGCCCAAAGTTCTGCAGGTGTAGTTTAACTGCAATTAAAAATATAATTTCCAGATTTCTTTTACAGATTTTTTCCCCTAAAACATTGATATTTATGAACTTTTAGATTGTGCAGAAAATAATTGATAAGGTTTATACTATTGAGTAAATCATGCCTTTAAATTGACTTGAAAATCTATCTAAGAAACTGTATCATGTGGTCTCTGGAAAGTTTCTAACGTATTAAAATTCTAGTTATAAGATAATTAGGTTTTAAAAAAGTATGTAGATATGTAATTTAAAACTATCAAATACTTTATTAAGTACTGTAAGAAGTTATCAAGAGTTGTAGAAGCAAAGAGGGAGAGACATTTGTTGATTATTATGTGTTAAAAATAGTAACAATGGTAATAATTGAAATAATAGTTAACATTTTCTCAGTATTTTCTATGTGCTGTGCATGCTGCTGGGAAATATCTCATGTAGTCCTCACAAGAACTATCTGAGATAGGTAATTTATTATTCCCATTTGATAGATAGGAAGACTGAGAACATAAAGGGTTTTTGTATAGTGAGCAATGTTGAATTCAGGGAATGTCTGAATGAATATAACTGACTAAATTATTGGAAGGAGAACTACCTATTAGTTTGCTGCTGTGGTAGCCTGAATGAGAGATGGTGAGGGACTAAACTAAGGCTGGGGACAGTATGTTGGAGAGGAATTTGAGAGATTAATTACACATGGAAAAATTTAGGGGAATGATTTAATATATGGGATGAGGGAGAAAGAGAAGCCAAGGATGTCTCCAAGTGTCACACATGGATGGATAGGTAGTTGTTGATGCCACTAACCTAGGAAAATAGAGGGTAGAGAATAAGTTCATGAGGATAGGAGACAGAGAAAATGAGTGTGGTTTTAGACATGTTGAATTTAGGGTGCTGTGGGATATTTAGAGAATAGGGTGGACTGAGAAAGGGAATTTCTATTTGTAATAATTGAAATGACCAACTAGAAGTTTCATACAAACATTCCAAATTTGAATTTCAGGAAGATACTTGGAAAATTCTACTTATGGAGTCCTGGCTTTGGTGCCGCTCTGCCAGCATCTTATGTGGCCATTCTAATTGAAAGAAAAAGCAGGTAAATTTTTACATATCTACATATTTAAAAGAACTGCCTGCCATGCCAACTAGGAAAAAATTGTTTTTAACTTACTGTTTATTGTCCAGGTATGAGAAATATTTCTACATATGTTTTTAGTCTTGCAGATATTTGATGGAAAATTTAATTTTGTACTAGTATTATTTTTATGCTTATTAAACTTAAAAATATAAAGATTGACATTATAGAGCAATAAAATCCATTAGTCTTTGTTTACTAAAAAATTAGCGAGTTCTTTAATGTGCTTAACTAAAATATGACACATACAAACCCTAGTAAAGATCTTCTCCATAACCACAGTACCATTATCACACCTAAGGAAATTAACAATAGTTTTTTCTTTTAATCTTTTTAAGTTTATTAGGGTGATATAGGTTAATAAAATGATATAGGTTTCAAGTGTACAACTCTGTAATACATCATCTATAAATTGCATTATGTGTTCACTGCCCAAAGTCAAACCTGACAGTAGTTTTTTCTGTTATCATCTGGATCTATAATTTGCTTCAGGCTCATTGAGTGACCTTTGTTAAATCAATTATTATTTTTAAGGCATCTTCTTGTTCAAAAAAGTATTTTCATTTTTATTCAACCTGAAAATATTCCATATGAAATATGAAATAAGATTTCTATAAAATGCTACAAACTATTATGTAAAATTTTTAGTCAGGTAAATAGTTGAAATTAAAGCTTTTGTTTAAAATAATTTTTGCCATCTCATGAATAATTATTGCTGACAACTGCTTTGATTCTATCTTTATCCCAGATAATCAAGATGGGGTCATGTATTAATCAAGTTAAGGTCATCTTTCAGTTTATGAAGATGTTTTTTATAATCATTGATTCTCTTGTAAGACTATAGATCTTATCAGGTAACCAAATATTTACTTAAATCACCTGAAGCCACTTTTAATATATTCTTATAAATGTAATTTAAATTTTCACGGTTCTGTGATTATATCACAATGCTTTTGGATTATTAAAATTCTAAGATCGAAGGACTGGTTTATATGACCAAAGCATAATCAAGTCAGCATTGCTAGAAACATAGGTTACCCCACTTGAGAGGACAGTACAGATTAGTGGTTAAGAGTATGGATTCTGGAGGTATACTACTGGCTTAGGACACTGGTTTTGCCACTTACTGTGTGACTTCTATGACTTATTCCTTACCTGAAAAATGGATAGTGATAATCTATTCATTTAGTCGTTCAGAGGATTCAGTGAGTCAATATTTGTAAAAGTACTTAGAACAGTGCCTGACACATAGTGTTAAATGTTAGGTATTCGTATTATTCTTTGCCTGTAAGTCATGAAAAGTTCTTCTGGGAATTATAACTTACTGACCATTTTAAAATTATGAATATTGGTTTCAAATATATGATTTCAAAATGTTACTCATGCATGAAACTAAGAATGCTTTAAACCAAGTTTGCAATGATTTATTTATTTTTAGCACTTGAATAAGATAGTATTTTTGATGTTACTTGCTTTTTGAAGTTATATTTTGGGTTGATGTATTAGTCTAGGTCTTATTTTTATAATGTCAGTTTTAAAAAAATGAAAGTTTTCTTTGAAGATCAACATTTATTTAAACACAATATTGTATTATCGATGTTAAATACAATATTGTGTTATTGATGTTAAACACAATATTGTGTTATTGATGTTAAACACAATATTGTGTTATTGATGTTAAAATATACAATATGGGTGTACACACATATACACATATGCAAAGATATGATGGAAATATATATACGCACACTTAAGTGAAGCTTTCTGTTAATAAATATCTTTATATTCGTTTAACTTTATTTCTTTTCTATTTTTTTCTCCTCTCCAAATGACCCATTTATTTACCCATCCATCCATCCATCCATCCATCCATCCATCCATCCATCCATCCATATCCATCCATCTATCCATCTTTCCCAGTCTCCTTCCCTCCCTTTAGAATTAAGCAAGCTTTGCCAGCTATCTCCTGACACCTTATAAGACTACAGTTTACTTAAATCTTAATCGCATCACTGTGGGGTTCTGAGAAAGCTTTGAAGTTGTTTCCAAGGCTGCTTAAAAAAATTTGTGCCACAAAGAACTCTGATCACAGTAACACAGCAGGAAGCATTAGTAACATCTAGTTGATCCCTAGGTGGGCTGTTAAGAACTAGTCTTCTCTTTCTTTTTCTAGGAAGTGCTTTGTTTGTGGTTCAGAAAGAAGTTGTTCTGATGGATTTTGTTTTGTAGAATTGCTGATGGAAGTTGCTTTGATTTTTAGTATTAGTTTAGATAAATTACAACTGCAGGGTGCTCAAACATGGACATGTATTAAAATATCAAAAATTGCATGTGTATTCTAAGCAGACTCATGGGTTGAGTTGTTAAATTTCACAGTTTTAGTTATGAAACTCCTAAACAGATATGACCAAAATGAATGAACTATACATGAATAAAAGAATACCATGAATTTTGTTTATAAATTCTTGGCATCTTCAAGTTTAAGTGTCATGTTATCTTCACAGGAAGAAAATTAAATTATCTTGCAGTCTTCTGTATTATCTACTATATATAGTAGATTAGGATCTTGCTGTAGACTGGAAGTTTATCTTATCCATTCCTATACCTGAATGAAGTATTTTTATACTCCTGTAAAACATTCTGACAGATGAAAATCTATTATACTTTGAAAGACTTTCTAAGATGATTAAATAGTGTCTCTTAGTAAACCATTATCATATATAGGAATGTTTACTTTGTTTTTCTTTAATCTCTAATTTCTCCTCACCTGTAGAATACACACACACACACACACACACATACATATACACACACACACACACATTATATATATATATAATTAGAATTTAGGAGTTACACCATTCCTTCTGTATGTCTTAGTGACCTTAGTCATGATGTATGTTACATACAGTGCCCTTCAAAAGTTTGAGGTTACCTAAAAGGATATATATATTAAAGTTTCCAGAAAAAAAGCATATTGCTCATCTAATTAGATACAGTAATGTCATTAAAAGATAATAATACTTAGAGTTTCATCAGATTAGGAAGAAACCTTTTAGTCTACTTAGATGTTAAAAAATTTAATTATTTTAATATTTTCCCATAGGATTAATAATACTCTGATTATCAGAGTTAGTTCCTAATGATACTCTGATTATCAGAGTTAGTAGCTATGGTTCTTAATACTTTTTTTAGGCAGTGCCCCTTGATGTACATTAAATTTTTTATGCAAATTTAAGAGATTCACCTCCTTCCCTCGCCAAAAAAAAAAAAAAAAGAGAAGGAACATTATCTGTGGTTTAAAGACGTATTTGACCAACTTTAGAATGTTTATTCACTGAGCTTCACCGGTCTTTTAACCTAGTGATTCTCAGCAGAATGGGAATATTTGTGTCTCAGAATCTCTTGTGAAATTTAGAAAATTATTGTCCTTCTTGGCCCTAGACCTCCCTCCTCTTTACGCCTAGGCTATCTTTTGTTCTAATTGGCACCTCCCCCTTCCCTATCACTATTGTAGTAGTGTTTTAACATGTAATTTGGTTTCTAGAGGGAATTTACTTACTAGGAAGGAAGTGACCTGTTCGTCTTCAGACTTAGTCTAGATATAGTCAATTGTTAAATAATAAGACAACATTTAATTACCATATCAGTTTCTCATGATATTGAACATCTCAGGAGAAGTGATAAAAGAAATCACTGTTTTGATGTTTGGCCCTACCAAATTGTTGTTGGAATCAAGGCAAAGACACTGCACCAGGGAAACATACCATAAAGTCTGTCTATGAAATCCAACATGTTGTGCCCTTCACAGATATTGTCCTCTCCTTCTTGGGGCTATTAGTTCTGGGTTGGAATTCAGATAAAGCTGGGAAGGAAGTAACCTTTCTCGTTATTTAGGAATGATAAATTGAAATGAGATCAGAATAGGACATAGTTTAACAACAGTACATCCTCTGCTTTTTCCCAGTAGTAAGAGTATTTCAAGGCTTTATTCATCCTTAGCTCTTAAGCATAGAAGCCTATTAGAACACCATATTAAATTAGTCAGTGAATTGCAGAATTTAAAGGAAATTCAGTAAAGATTTTCTGCTGTAGAAGCAGTGCATTAGAAAGAACACGAAACTGGAGATGAACTGACTCCTAATTCCAATTTGTCTTTTTGCTACTATTATATTTTAAAGGAAACCACTCTCTGATTCTTGATTTTTCACAGAGTGAGGATATTATTATCTGTGTTACACTTTATAGGACTATTGAGAGAATAAAATTTGATTACACACTGTAATCTAGTGAAAGCTTGAAATGCTTGCCACAGCATAGTCAGTAAGTTGAGTGACAAGGAGTTGGACAAGGAAAGTAGCTTTATTCTGAAAGCCAGTAAGCACAGAAGGTGGTGGACTATTGTCCTAGAGAATTCTCTTGATAAAGTACAAAATTCAGGTTTCTTTTATTTCAGGAGAAAGGAGAAAACAGGAGGTCAGGGGGTGATTGATGTCTGCAGACATCTGCAAGTCAGCAAGGGTCCAAGGGGGATGGTGAAACTTCTTTGCTTCTGGTCAACAAACTCTGGTTGCTGTGGTCTCAGTCATGAGGTTCCTATAAATCTTTTGATAAGCAATGGTTATTTTTGTACATACCTTACTTATCTCCTTGGGGAGATAGTTTTGAGCACGGAAATTATTTCAGTAATTCCTAGGCTACTGGTTAGATTCCTTTAATAATTAGCATATCTATGTGCAGGACTAAGCAAAAGTTGCTAATCCTCATGCTGTGGGAACTGGGCAGGTTCAAGCAAGATGGAGTCAGAAAGACTATTTTATTCTATTACAAAAGTATTGATTTTACTTTATAAATTGTTAAATTTTATGCAAATATAAGATAATCTCATCACATCTTTACTTCCTAATATATTGGTATAATTAATTGACCCTCTCTCTAGTTGCTATCTTTTGTGGTTGGATTTCTATAATATGTGTCTATAATATATTCCTTTTTAAAAGGCTAAGCTCCTAGTAACACCTTGTTTAGTAATTCTACGATTTGCTTAATGAAAATTAGATGCCAGGTACTATTGAAGATTTGTGAAATGTAAAGGTAAACAAGATAATATATACCCGTAGTTAAAAATAAAATATTATGTTATCAGACAGATGGAAGCTAGTGATGAAACTGTTGCTGTTGAATATTAGAGATTACCGTTGAATATTAGAGATTACCGTTGAATATTAGAGACAGTTAGATTAGTGGAACAAATGTTTTTAAAGATAGCATCATATATTAGTTCACATCATAATGAAATGTATTATCAGTCATTACCACCGAAATTACAGAAATATTTTGGTTTTATAATTAAGAATATTATTTTTTTGTTATATGTAATCAGCTTTTGGTATAAGATTAGGTATCGCTTGAGGAGGATTTAACTTTTTTCTGCAGTGTGACTCTTGGATGTTGATTTTACCCTAATTTTTCTTTACATAATTTATTTAAAATAAGTATTATTAGAACATCTTTGATTTAGAATTTGGTAGGAATTGATAAGATTGGTAAAGATTAGTAAGACCAATTTCAGTTCACATGTACAAATCATAGAAGAACTAAAAGGGACCTTGCAGATCATCTTATTAATGATTTTTAAATTCTTTTTTAGAGGAGCAATAGAATTCTGTTATTCTAAGGAGGTGTATTAGGTCCTGCTGAGGAGGGACATTGCCTGGGTGGGAGGGGTGTGGCTCAGTGGCTTTGCCTAGACCTCCTTCTCCTTTCAACCAGAGTAGGTCCAATATTATGTTTTATATATTAGTGATAAATGGAAGTTTTTTTCTTTAAATAGTTTTTATATTTAAAAATGTAAGTTAGATAACTAGTCTTGTTCCTTTATTTTAATGACATAATTACAGAGTACCAGAAAATTAAACTTAACTGGAACCTTAATTTTGTAACTTCACTTCAGTGTTATTCAGTTAAATCATACTGCCTCCATGTGGTTTTAATAATGTTAAAACCTTATTAAACCGTTTTACATGATGAACAATCCAGACTGTGTATGACTCAATCTGACATCAAAATTTCATTGACAATGTTAATATCAAGACCTGGAAAATTAATATTCATTTTATATACAAAGTACTTTTTTTTGACTACTAAAAATGTTTGTAATTGAAACTCAAATAAGTTTTTATAATTTTCAGAGTTTGTTATTTGAACTCTGCCCTTAAACTCTTGAACCGTTAGAACAGCTCTTTCCTAGAAGATAGGATGTGCTTCATTCATAAGCTAAAGTGATTAAAGCCATAAAATTATCCTTATCTTGGAGTTTCTACCTGAATTCTCTTTAAATAAATCTGGTTAATTGTGCAATTTTTATGTAAGGCGAGTGTTTATAGAACTTTTATTTGTCCTTTGGCATTAGAAAGTTCACTTACCCCCTGATTTCTCACTTAACAATGAAGGTAAAACCAGGGTGATTTAGTATGCTTTGTAATGACATCTAATTAACAGTTGCATTGTGCATGAAACAAATAGAAGACCTGATTTTGTAATGAATAAATTTACATTTAGTTAGAATTGTTCTGTCCTTGACTTTTTGACAAGATGAATTCATTAGGATTCTTTATTAAATTTACAATTCTCAAAATAGACTAATAGCAAATTTTACCACTCTTCCTATTAATAATTATATCACAATTTTAAATATTACTAATAATAAAATTAGTAATATTTAAAATTGTGATATAATTGACATATAGTGTTAATTTCAGGAGTACAACATTTGACATTGATTTGATATTGCCATATATTGTGAAATGATCACCATAATCAGTCTAGTTAACAATTACTAGGCAATGGTAATTTTAAAGGATTTAAATTAATGACCACTAAATAGGATAACTTAGAATCTATTTAGATCCAATTATTAAGGTGCTGAAAATTTAGTTTAGCATAATCTATCCCTTTTTCTCAACTCCTGATATTTATTTTGATAGATTTCTCAAAAATGATAAAGCTGCTATTAAGTCAAATTGATGCTTAATCTCACTCTCTTTTTAAAATTATTTTCAGGAGAGGGCTTCTCACAATTTATATGGCTAATTTGGTAAGTAAATTTTTTTTTTAACTTTTGAGGTTTTCCATGTGTTTTTTAATCTTTTTTTTTTTTTTAAATCAAATTTCCTTAAAAAGGAAAGGAAAGCTACTTAAATTTGAGAATAATTTGTGTCTGTGTTTTAAAGGACAGACTTTAATGTTTAGAAGAGCCTTGATGTCATCTGATTTGTTCCTGTCTTGTATGACTGAATTTCACTTAGTTCAAGGGGAAGGTGATTCATTTCTCTGTGCCTTTTATGATTTTTTTTTTAAAGGGTGGATGTTCATCTTTGGTAGGATCTATATCTATCTACAAACAGTTTATTTAATGATATAATTAGCTAGAATCCTAAATTTCTAAGTTTACGGAAGTGAAATTAATGTTAACTAGTCTGATATTCTTTATAGTAAATGTATAATCAACATAATTTTCATTGCTAAGTTTACATTTTAAAAACATATTAAAATATTTCAAAGTTATTTAGAATTGAAAGGCAACACTGAAAAATTCACTTAAAATATAATTATTTATCTAAGGGTAAATTCTCAAATTCTGTAACAAGGGAATGTAGTGCAGAGTTATATTTACCAACTTATTTCAGTTATAAACTATTTAATTTTGCTCCATACTTACCATGTGTTGGTTACTGTGCAATATGCTGGTAGGCGACGTAGAGACAGTCCTTGTACTTATGGAGTTGCTGTCTAATGGAGAAGTCACAATAGATATAATATTTGAAAAGAATGGAAATATGAATTTTAGGTTGCCGTGGGAACCATAATAGTAGTACCAAACTGTTCTGGGTGCTGTTCTTCTTATTTTTTAAAACAATTTAAATATATTGTGCTTTCATATTAGAATGGATTTGAGTTTTAAGATATTTTTTATCTTTTAGCTATACACATGCTTTTCTATACTACTACATGTTATATACTTTAATACCTAAATACTGTGTATATCTCTACACATACCTTTAAATTCTAAGTAAACTTTCACAGACTTTTTTTTGGTGTTGCCTGGTTTAGACTGTAAATTCCTGGAGAGGAGATCTTTGGCTTTGGTATAATCAATGCCCTTAAAATTCTGTATTTTTTTAGATTAAACTTTTTATTTTGGAGTAATTATAGATTTATATGCAGTTGTAAGAAATAATTGAGAGATCTCATGTTCTCTACTCCCAGTTTCCCCCAATAGTCATATCTTCAAACTACAGTAGTATCAAAATTGGGATATTTATATTGCTATTTACTGTAGTCAAGGTAGAGAACATTTCCTTCACCACTGGGATCCTTTGTGCTCCCTTTTTCTAACTACATCCAATTCTCTCTTCCCCTTACCACCTCTCTCCCCACTTAACCTCTGGCAACCACTCATCTATTCTTTATTCTTATAATTCTGTAATTTCTGTAGTCATTTTAAGAATGGTGTATAAGTAGAATCATAGTATATATTTGTGGTTAGTTGTTTTTTACTCAGCATATTTCTAAAGCTGTTACACATATCACTAGTTCATTCCTTTTTATTACTGAGTAGTGTTGTTCTCTATTAATTTGTTTAGCTGTTTACCCATTGAAGGACATCTGGCTTTTTTCCAGTTTTTGGTTATTACAAATAAAGCTGCTATAAAATATTCATGTGCAGGTTTTTTGTGAACACGAATTTTCATTTCTCTAGGATAAATGCCCAAGAGTGCAATTGCCAGGTCATATGGTAGTTGCTGTTTGGTTTTTAAAGAAACTATTGAACTATTTTCCAGAGTGGCTGTACCATGCTGTTTTGATAGTGTTTCCAGTCTAGAGTATTGCTTCGAATATCTAGTTTTTTCTAAATGGGAGACTTTTTTTGGGGGGTGGGGTGGTGAGGTGGGGTGGAGCATTTGTCTATTAAGTAGATTTGTACTTTCTGTCCAGATGACTAAATTTCAATATTAGAAAAGTTTTTCAGAAAATGCAAAATATAATTTTTTAAAAATCCTTTGTAAGCAAGTTAAAAAGGATCTATAATTCAGAAATTTAATGAGATCAAAACCTTTACAGATAGATTTTCTATGTCTGAAAGAAAGTGAATCTGTTATTCTGGATACTAATGATAATCTAATAAGCTTCATCTTCCCTTTATCTAAATAAAGCCTTTTATTTATACTATTACCATATAACTATTACTGTAGTAACAGGGTGTTGGTTCAGACTAAGTAAGAATTTAAATATTTTCAGAGAGACTGAATTTAGCCTTATGAAGTAACTTGGTTCTATAACTTTATTATGTTGCTTACTAGACTAAATTGAAATTGTTGGTTTATAGCAACAACATAATTTCTAAATGTTGGGAGGTTTTATCTTTAAAAAAATATTTATTGGTTTTAGTTATGTGTTTCTGATTTGGAATGTATAGAAAAGCATAAAGAAGAAAGTAAAAATCTTCTGTAATTTTACCGTGTAGTAATTACTAACATTTTAGTATTTATTTTTTTATTCCCTTCCTCCTAAATACACAAACATAAATGTACATTCACATTACACATTGTAAACTCATTTAAAAAAAAATTGGGACATATTGTTTTGTGACATCTTTTGTTACTATGCCATATAGTTTTTTATTGCTCACGATAATTATTTTTCGGAGAGTCTCCTCCTTCCTTTTCTCTTACATCTTGGTTATGTCTTTATTACAAATTAGTTTTATACATACATACATTTATTCAGCTCCATTCAAAATGTTGGAAGGTAGTGAAATAATAACTGTTAGGTTAATAATATTATAGTGTTGTTAGTTTTGGCTGTGACAGTTACCCATTTATTACATTGCTTTGCTTTTGAATGAATACATGATAGAGGAATATACAGAACTGGCTCTATATTATTTTTATCATCTTTGTCTTTATTTTTATCAGTAAACATTTATTGAGTACAAAACACTGCTAGGTATTGGGCACGAGTATAAACCATAATTTATGCTTGAAATTAGTTGAGGAGCAATATATATCTAGATCTGGATTTAAAATGAAAAAGTAGTTAATAGTCCAAGAGAATGTATTCATGTCAAACATGTGGTTAGACAGTATAGTCACTAGAACTTTAGAAAAGAGAGTTAGCTTTTGGATGGGGCAATTAGGGAAGGTTTTTTGAATTGCATGGGACTTGAACCTTGAAGAAAAGAGAGAAATTGGAGGCATCTTAGAGATGTGTTATTGGTGACCACCAGAAAAAATTCTTGCCTTTCTAAGAATTGGCAAGTTGGGACTAAGGTTTAGGAACAAAAAAAAGATAAGAAATATTTATTGAGCGTCTACTGTCTTAAATACTGTAGGTGAATTTTGAGTTACCAAAATAAACAGGGGATCATCTGCTTCTTAGGACTAGAAACTTTATTGGGGGAGAGAACTGTGTAAACCAATGGGAGTAAACCTCGTCTTTTTTTTTTAGCATTGATATTGGTCTCGAAACAAAACAGTACAGTGTTTGTATTATATAATTGTGAATATAAATTTTGCTAGTTGTGTTTGCATTAGTGTTGTAGGAAGCAGGTGAAGAACTATATCCCCTAAATAACAGACATGTCTGTTAACGCTTTTGTTATTTTAAAAAGGTCTTCCCTTAGGCTACCTTATAGTTACTCTTATTACTTATGACTATCTTTCAGTAAGCCCTGTTTAAGTATCAGTTATTAGACCAATGGTTTATAGCCTTAATGATTAACTAGCAGCTTTAAAAATTACAAACTAAGGCAGCTGAATTAATACCCATCTGAAAATGTTGTTTTTTTTTTTGTTACATGTTAGCATATTTTAGAAGGAAAAGTGTACAGTTTTGAAACTAGTATAGTTTTTTAGTTTTTTTGGATTGATAGAGAATAAGTTGCTAAGGGGCAAAATGTATAAAAGGTATATAGAAAATATATGAAATAAAGAATTAAATATTTTCTCTGGCTTCTGCTCAGGATATGGCTATAAAATGATGGAAACGTTTTCCTGGGGCTAATATGCCAGAAACAATTACCCACAAGAACACCAGCTGCTAGGATTCAACTTTGCCACAGTATGATTTAAAAGAGAACACATAAAAGTTTGTGTTGTGTGATTTTCCTTTATTATGTTGGTTATGACGATGACTGAGGATTCCAGTCTTTCAAAATTCATCATATGATGCTAACAATTATTTAAATGTGATGTCAAGTGTAGTTCATTTATGTTTAGTTTAATTATAATTTATGACATTTAAAAGTCTTTCTATGTAAGTCCTTCTGAAAACTTATTTCTAGTTTCATTTATGCCATCAAGCATTCATTATGCCATCATGTGTTTTAAAATTCGTAAACATATCTAGTAGGTTTGTCTCTAGCATTCGTTTTGTCATTTTAAACACACACTGTCTTTGATTAAAACATCTGTATTTGATTTTTCAAACATAAAGTTTGAAAATGTTGATTCATATGTGTTCTTGTAGGGCTACTTTTAATTAGATCCAGCAGGCATTTATTAAATGAGTGCTGTGCTAGGCACATGAGGTTACAGAAGAAATACAAGACGGGTTGTAAACTAGTTGGAGAAATTTGACAGAAATTCAAAAACAATTATAAACACTCTCTCGAGTGGCTCCTCTGTGCCTTCCATGTGCAGCAAATGGCATCAATGATTTATCCAGTTGCTCAGGCCAGAAACTTAGGAGTTTTAACTCTTTTCTTCTCTTTATACTCCTACTCCAATTCATTGGGAAATCATATTTTACTTCTAAAATATATTCTGGGTCTTAAAGTGACTGACCATCTCCATGGTTATAACCATAGTCTGAGTCCTAAATCTCTTGTCTGAGCTATCTTAATAACCTAACTCATTTACATCTTCCCAGTCTTGCCTTCCTATAGTCTGTCTTCTGCATAGCAGTCAGTCATTGGAAATAGAAATGAGAGCATGTCAATCTTCTGTTTAAAACTCAGAAAAACCTTCCCTTCCCACTGCATCCCAAATAAAATTTAAATGCCTCACTGTATGATAGCTGCTACCTCTGTATGAT